ATGTAAATCTACTGAAAACTTTTTTCTTCAGAGTTCCTTTCTTTTATCTCCAAAAGGGAAAAAATAATCTGTGTATTTGTACCACACAAGTTAAAATCATTGATCCAAAAGCTAGGTAGTTACAATACTTCATAGTTATACCTGGAGATTTTTTTCTAAGTAGATGAGATGCTTGCTAGGAATTTTAAGTCTCATCACTCTGTACTTGATGAAAGAAAGGAAAGACTTGTGTTTTGAGGCTGATGGCTGGAATATGCAGTGGTAGATACTGCTGGCACATGGTTTTGAAGTGACATTTGCTTCTGGCTACTGAGGATTAGTTGTCAGCCCACTTTAAATCTAAAAAGTTAATTTAGACTTTTCACTCCACAGCTTAAGAAATAACTTTCTCTGTGTACGGTAAGTTAGTATTTTTATAGAAGATTTTCATTAAAATCCTCCTGTATTATGTGAGTAAATTCAACGCTGGAAAGCACAATTATTTGTGTGAGGAATGAAATTGGGTTGTTCAATATGTGTGGCAGGGTTTTGCCTATATAAATAAGATACTGCAACTGCAGGCTCAAAGTTCGGTGAGGGCTGCTTTTCCCCTTAAAGCTTTAACAACTTTGTTGCTCCCCATTAAGAGATATTTGCCATTATTCTTGCAGTGATTACACACAGAAATGTGCACATTTTCAGGTTTAATTTTCTTCAGCTTTTATTTGGCCCACATAAAATAATACCTAAAGTTTCTGCCTCCGTAAATAACAGCAATTGTTAATGTCTTTGTAGTTAGAGAACACTGATTCTTTCACTGTACATCTGCATGATGTCTGCTGAAGACTTTTGTGAATAAATAACCATTATTTTTAACCTTAGCACTTGATTTAACTGAATGGTTAAATCCTAGGGTTTTTTTAGCTGTGCTACAAGATACTACTTGTACATGTAGAAAAGCCAATATTAATGTAAAAGGAATAAATTTCAAGATTTTTTTTTACCACAGTTGAACTATGTAAGATCACTAGTAACAGGTTTCAGACATTGAGTATTATGAATTAAAATTGAAAATGGGGATCAATGTTCCTGTGAACTACCTAACCAATAACATTATTTTGCAGACTATTGCTGACATAAAATACATTGTTTAATGGTATTCTTATTTCCAAACTCTTCAAGTTTCTGAGGAGGAGGTATCTTTAAAATGTTTTTTTAGCAGCTAGGGTTTTTGACAAGCGTTATTATCCTTACTGCTGTGACAGACCCAAAAGAAAAAAATTAGATAGAGAGATACTTTTAAAACATATTTTTGTTTTCAAATGAAACCTGTCTTAGGGAGAAGGGTTAAACATGTCTGTCGTCTTTACTGTTTTATAACTGGTGTGCCTGTTCTTAGTCAAGGAGGTAGTGTGAATGCTCACTCTTTTAGGATAAAGTTACAAAAATAAGTAAAATACTTAAGAAACCTATTTGTTAGAACAGGTAGATTTCGGTGCAGTTCCGATGATTCTTCTAGGTGATTTATAGGTAGTTTACTCTGTAGTTATAACAGTAATCTAAAGCTTTCACTCCCCAGTAAAATCCTAGAGGGTGAACCGCAGTACAGATTCTTCAAGTTCCTGTGGCATATGCTGACCTTGCAGACTTGTCCAGCTGCAGCTGAGCCCGCTTATATTTCTGAATTTATAGGCATATGTGTGTGTCTGTAATTGTAAAGTCCATCACCTGTTGAGGAAGTTTTATGAGGATACTTTGAGACATGAGTAGCAGCTACCTCTGTTTAATACATATTCAGTGATAGCCACTGGATGCACTGTGGTTTAGAAAAGTAAAGTTTTATAAATTAAAACCAAAAAACAAACCTGTCAATTTTTGATGCAGGCTTTCTGTTCCAAAGACTTGGATGTATTTTGGGTTTGGAAATCAGTGCTTAAGGTCAAAGAAACAAAGGTAGCATGTTGTGGATGTTGCATCTTTTCCATCATGGGATTTATGTGAGAATTCCTTCTGCACATGGTGATCGTTTACCATAAGATTCTGATAGTAGTATTAAAATATTAATGCAGTGGGACCCAAAAGATACACACTGCAGAAAAAATACATAAGGCTATCCAACTGTTTTGACATATGAGTTGCTACTTAAATTTCAGACTGCACTATAAAGCATAGCCAGATGAATCTCTCCTTACTGAACTTCTAGGGCAGACGTAGTTGTGTAACCTGTTGAGGTTGAGTCAAGCAGTGAAAAGAAGTTGCTTTTCTTGAGACATATTGTGAGCCATCCATGTTTATTGAATTACTGGACAGTCTTCTCAGATTAATAAATTAAGTTACATATAACTTTGTATACAGTCTTTGTTATTGAAAATTTTTGGTAGCTCTGAAGACAAAATTTCATTACAAACCACATATAAATCACGTGACTTTTGTCTTAACCTGGACAGAACTCCGTGTAGTCATGTGCCTGCTTTTAGTCCTTGGGGTGTCTGCTTAGAGGTGG